TATTTAGATTTAGGGTTATTCTAAAATTTCCCATTATTTTTGATAAAATATTTTTATGAAGATATTTAGTAATTTTAATTCATGTGCACAATAAAAAATCTTTTTAAATAAATTTTTATTCATTTGTATTTGTAATTTATAATCTAAAAAATTTAGAAAAACAATATTCTCACTTAGTGTTGAGCAAGCCACAATAATGTTCTTCTACGAATGATTGTTGTGTAGGAATATCTATATAAAATAAATAATATAAAATATAATTACAATTTAGTAGGGGAGACTGTGGTTAGGTAAACCCCGGGGCTTGACAAACCACTTAATCTCATTTTAAAATTAAATACACCAGAAGATTAAAATTTTATCCTAATATAGTTAACATTTGTATACATCTATGGACAAAAAATATTTTGAAATAATTAATTACTAAAAATTTTATTTTTGATGAAATTTTCAAAAGATTTACATGACGGAACTTTAATTTTTATTAAAATATATAATAATTTATATATAAATTAAATTTTATAGCAAAGTTTAAACACTCTTCTATAATTTGGGTAAGTTTAATGAGTATTTATCAAATCTAGATATTATTTCAATCATGATTTGTCAATTTAGAGCTAGCGGGGTTTGCTAAACCATACACGTCAATTATGGCAGTTAATAATGAAAAAAATTTTAAAATCTTGAAAAGTCAATTTCATGGCTGTTTATGATTGGTATTTAGGATTTATGCTAAGAAATCTTAATCTCTTCTTAAAATTCATGTTATTTTATGTCCAAAATGTTAATTAAATTAGCCAAAATTAAGTTTCAATTTTTATATATAATTAGCTTTTAATTTATAAGTATTATGATATTTTGAACAATAAAGCAATAAAATTATTCTATACATATCATTATTAATAAATAAAAATGCATTTCAATTTATTATGGCCTAAAAAACCAATGATTTAGGAAACCCCTTGAAGTGGTTTGCCTTACCATACTATTGGGGCTTATGGAACAAAATTTTTACTTTTACAAAAAATAAAATTAAAAAAAAATGATTATATTCTTAAGATTTTTTATAAGGCACCTTTATAGAGTATAGTTTTAGGTATCCAATTATATATTATTTTTTATATTATCTATAAAAAACAGGAGCTATAGCCAATTTTGTAAAAATTGGTTCGACTAACAGCAGTCTCCCCTACTTTTGTAAATATAATAAATTTTATACCTACTAAAAATTATACATAAAATTTAACATTTTTATAATTAAAACCAATCAGAGACCTACAGGCCCGCTCTGTTATATGCCATGCCTATAATATTTTTTTTAAATATTCGTGCTGGGCCTGATTCCCCTCATAAAATAAAGGTGAAATATATTATTTATCATCAAATGAGGAAAATATTCTGAAAGTCCGTTATTCTTGACGAGCTATCAGCTAGTTAAAGATAATGTAGATTATTAATGTCAATTGTTTAGTATGTCCCAAAAATCAAACATCCATCTCCTCCCGTTTATTAGAACTTTTTAAATATGATTAGAAATTTCCACTTTATTTGATAGATAAATTAGAAATATAAAGGTAAATATCTGAATCACACCTCTCATCAAAAATGTTGGGGAATAGGAATTTTATCCTCATTTTGATAATGGATTAATCAGAAGAATAAAGGGGATATTTCTAAATTATCCATCAATGAATAAAGGAGGAAATTCTGATTTCACTATCATCTTGACGGGCAAAATGAAAGATAAAATAACTATCGTGAATGGTTCATAGTTATCTGGTTTATAGAAGAATATAGATACTCAATGTTTGATGAAGAGGAAAGAGATCTGAAATTAAAGGTTCCACGTCAATTCGGCGCGGAAAATTCGGCGCGGCGACAATTCAGCGCACGACAATTCGGCGCGGCGTCATTAGGGCGCGAGGACAATTCAGTGCAACGTCAATTCGGCGCGGCGACAATTCAGCGCAACGTCAATTCGGCGCGGCGACAATTCAGCGCAACGTCAATTGAGCGCGGCGACAATTCAGCGCGTATCTATTACAGTTGCAATTTATTATATATTACTTAGTATAAAAAATAAGGATGATTAAATGGAAATCATTTTGAATGTTGGTCCTATTAATTATTTCTCCATATTTATTTTTACAAAAATCCCAATTTTATTTACTAAATGTATATCGAAAAAAATTAACTAATATTTATACCTATTTCTTTAATGGACCATTTTACCACATTATAAGGTATGTTGATTAGTAGCCAATATTATGTAAGCCTGGAGATTTTGCGCATAGAAGGAAAAAAGAAAAAGAAAGATTTGACCTCTATCTCTAATCTTATATATTATTTTGGCTACAATCTTAATCAATCTTTTTTTTAAAATAAACCCAAAATACCCCCCTGATAAGTACTATAATGTTCTTAAATCCACTTTTCACGCCTAATTTTAGATAATTAAAAAAATAAATAAAATTATAAAAGTTTAAAAAAATAATATACCCCCCTGATAAGTAATATGCCCAAAATCTCGGTTTACATAACACTGGCTACTAATCAACATACCTTATGTGATAAATTGGTCAACCAAAGAAATAGGTATAAATATTGGTTGTTAATTTTTTTTTTTGATATTACACATTTAATTTTTGATTTATATAATAGAAAAAATTAGCCTAAGCATAATATTTTTTTAAAAAGGATTAATAGAATTTTAGGATTTTTATTAAATCTAAGAGTGAGTCAGTCTTAATTTGATTTTTTTTGGACCATGGCTGGGTCTATTTTTAAAAACGGTCGATTTAAATTCCAGCCAAAATAATATGTAAGATTCGAGATAGAGGTCCAAACCTTTCTTTTTCTTTCTTTCTTCTATGCCCAAAATCCCGGCTTACATAACATTGGGTACTAATTAATATACCATATGTGGTAAATTGGTCAAGCAAAGAAATAGGTATAAATATTGGTTGTTAATTTTTTTTGATATTACACTTTTAATTTTTGATTTATATAATAGAAAAAATTAGCCTAAGTATAATTATTTTTTTTTAAAAAAGATTAATAGAATTTAAGGATTTTTAATAAATCTAAAAAATGATTCAGTCTTATTTGATTTTTTTTGAATCATGGCTGGGTCTATTTTTAAAAACGGTCAGTTTAAATTCCAGCCAAAATAATATGTAAGATTCGAGATAGAGGTCCAAACCTTTCTTTTTCTTTCTTTCTTCAAAATTTCGGCTTACATAACATTGGCTAATAATCAACATATCTTATGTGGTAAATTGATCAACCAAAGAAATAGGTATAAATATTGGTTGTTAATTTTTTTTGATATTACACATTTAGTAAATAAAATTGACATTTTTGTAAAAATAAATATGGAGAAATAATTAATAGGACCAAAATTCAAAATGATTTCTATTTAATCATCCTTATTTTTTTATACTAAGTAATATATAATAAATTGCAACTGTAATAGATACGCGCTGAATTGTCGCCATAATTTATTTAAATTATTTTATATTATATTTTTATAATTATTATTTATTAAATTTATTTTAATTATATTTTATTTTAATTAAATTTTGTTTTAATTAAATTTTATTTTAATTAAATTTTATTTTAATTAAATTTTATTTTAAATAATATTAAATGTCATTTTATTTAACATCTATAACAGGTTTAATCTGATTTTAGTTAAATTATTTAAACTTTTTTTACAGATAACATACCTTTTATGGTTGCATTGAGTATATAGGATCAAGACCCAAAAATTTCAAAGGCTGAATATAAAGATTATAAGTTGAAGGCATAAATATTTTACAACATTTGATAATTAAACCAATCCCTATAAAGAAGTCAAATAATTTGGCTAAAAATCAAATTAAAATTATCTGATACATCATATATTTATCATATACAGCTTTCAATTTCAAGTATCTCATTTCCTCTTCATCAGGCAATGATTACCTGTATTCTTCTAAATATATAAACAGATAACTTCACTTGATTATTATTTTGTTTTATATAACGACCTTTTATTGGAATTACTAATTTATTTTGCAAGTTTTATCATAAAGCACAAATTATATATAAGGAGAAACATAATAATAACCATCCGTGATAGGTTATCTTTTAATTTATTTAAAGCTAATATAAAAAATAATATAATTATAAAATAACTGAAAAATTATATTTGGTTGTTAGATATTATTGCTTTTTTTCTTTTCCTATAATTCTGTTTATGAGATATCCTAAAAAACTTATTTAATATATATGTATTAATTATGTAAGAAATGTAATATTAATATAAGATTGTGTAAAAATTCTAGTTATGTTTAGGATATATAAGAAAATAATTTATGATATGTGAAGTGAATGAAATGGTAACTTAAGTGCATGAATCTTTGAATTTGGTATGATATTATCATTGGACCGAATAAGCTATGATGATTTTTATGGACGAATATTTTTTAAAAGAAAACTATTGGCTAAATTGATTGACGTTTTTTGAGGATCATTATAATAGATTTAGTGGCATTGGCATTGTTATTTTTCGTATTTTATTCTCTTTTTTTTGTGTTTTTTTCATTTTTGTTTATTATTTTTCGTTTATTTTTTCTTTCTTTTTTTCGTTTTTTTCGTTTCATTATATCTTAATTTTTGTAAAACTTAAAAAATAATGAAAGATTTTGCACATGTTTTATAATTTTATTAATTTGCGAAAATTTATAAATTTTGAGGTTTTTTAAAAAACATTCAGGACATAGCCTTACGATAATTAATAACATCTGGGGAATTCATCTATCGTGTCCTTTTCCAATCCTCTTCCGGCTTCATCCCATTGACATAATATATCTGAAAATTATGAAAAGGAATTCTTTAAGAGAAACTCTTATTTATACTCTTACAAATAATTTACAAAGTTTCTATTAATTTTTTTATGCCCCCCCCCTTACTCTTAAAGCTCTAAATTTTTGTTTTCACAATAAATAAACGTCTAGGGTGGACAATTAATACACAAATTCACTAAAAAATGTTTGGATATGGGCAATAGACAATCTGGTCAAGATCTTTTTCTTAACGATTGCGCAGATGTTCCATCTCAAAAATGGGAATTTGAAAATTATATTTAAAAATTATTTATTAATTAACTATATTAATATTCTATTGTTATTAAACCTAAAGTAAAATTTAATCTTATCATTTTTATAAGTATTTTTATAAGTATTTTTATATTTAATTTGAATTTTTGTCACTTTATTAAATGTTTATAATTAATATGATTAAAAAATTGTTAAATTATATTGCTATTTACCTTCATAATTCAAAGCTGGGGGCTCTGGAGGCCCTTTGGCCCCGACCCCGAGAAAGCATCATTTACCTTCTAATATTTAATCTCCCCACCCCCAACTGAGATAGAGAGTTTATTGCAATCCATTAAGCTTTTTTAGTAAATTTTTGAAAATTTCTTTTAAATCACCCTAAGCAAAGGATTCAATTTTCAATACCCAACTTTGATTCTTAACATTTTTAAAAATATAATATATTTTAGAAAATAATTTGCATACTTTCGCCTATGATTACAAAAGGGCCTACTTACAGTTAGTTATTTTACCATGAACAGGAAGTATAGGGTTGAAAAAGAGAATAAAATGTCTGACGTTATGTCCCGTTTATATTTAGAGAAACCGCAAGAAGTGAATTTATAAAATCAATCAGAAAGAAAGCTATTTGTAAGTATAAGGTTAATATCACGCTATGATCAGTAATTTGAAATATGTTAAAAGGATTTCGGATGAAGAAACTGAGGAATATAAAAAAAAGAGTTAATGAGGATTCAATAAAAGATTAATATACTTATAGTATTAAAGATAGTATATTATATTCTGAATAACTAAGGAAAGAAAAGAAGTGTTAACTATAATTATATCCATAGCTAATCTAATTTAAGTAGCAGGTGAATTATTTCTGATATTGTATATTCATCTTTATAAATGTGTTCGAATCTTTTGAAAATAAATATATTCAAAATATAAATTGAAAACAATATTCCAACCAGTTTATTTATGTTTTGCAAGATTGCATTAATAAGTGGCTTAAAAACTTGAAATTATTTAAAGCAATATTTTAAGTATGTATTTTATAGTAGTTATCGTGGGAGAGAGATATCCCAAATGTTCTAAAATCAAAAGAGCCGCATCAACAGGTTCCATAACATATAAAATCATTTATATTTTTTTTTAATTAACACTATCCATAGAAAATATAATTGAAAAGAACGAAAGAAAGGTTTACCTGCGAGTATGTAAAAATATATTTTATTATTATTAACTACCTAACTTTTTCTCTTTATACACATGCTATATATATACTATATAAAATTATAATATATATGATTAAACAAAAAGTAAGGTTACGAAAAATAAAAAGTAATATAAGTTGAATTTGAATTCATAACAAAAAATAAAAATATTATTTGAATAAATATAATGAATGTACGTTTATATAAATTAAAACATATTACTATTCAATAACCAATATTTTAATTTATTAATTCCTGTAACAATAATAATTATCAACAACCCATAAATTTACTTCTTTAAATTACAATTAACTTTATTTTTCCTTCTCAAAAATATTAATAATGATCATTTTTATAAAAACAAACACAAAATAACAAAATCCAAATTGATTGACGTTCCTTATTATATATTGTTATTTAAATTATTTAATTGCCATTTTGAACAACTGTAACACGCCAACCCTTCATGAGCCCACCTAGTGTCTATGAAGTTGAAATGTATTGATCTTTAGATTCATCCCATTATCAAATTTCTGGCATTGAGCCTTTCTTTTATTATTTATCAAATCGTCCCTTTGATTTTGTAACGACTTTTGACCTTTTTATCATCCATGATATTTATCGAATCGTACAATTGAAATTTTCTGATTTATAATATATTCTTTCCCGAATTGAAGTGTGACATATTCATGTTAAATATAAGTAAAATTATAAATTGGCGGAATTGATAAAAATAAATAATTTCAAATATTACCCTTAGTATGAATTTAGGGTATATATTTTCATGAAATATTAGAATAAAATTCATTTATAATCTAGAAAATAATCTTATGGAAGTTATAATTTATATGATAGTATTATATTATGTATGACAAAATTTTTTTTTAAAAAACATGATTTCATGCTGCATGCACACTTATAATATAAATTCAAAATAAATAAACAAAAAAAGTGAACTTTACTAGTATTGCGTAATCGGCTAAAAACTACGCCTAACCTAAATATCGGCAAAACCTAATTAGGTTTAACCTAAAAAACAGCTAAGGTTTAGCCTAAAAATCGGCTAAACTTAATTAGGCATAGCCTTATAATTGGCTAAAACTAAATTAGTCAAAAATTCTGCATCGGCTAATTGTCCATCAGCATTCCGTAAGATATGCCCAGCATTAATTATTATTTATTTAATTTTAGTAAAATATTTAATTTTTTTTATATTTAATGTAAATATTTTATTATTATCAACAAATAAACAATATGATATAATTTAATATTTTTTATTTATTATTATAAAATGAAATGAAAATATTATGAAAATAGATTAATTTATTTGATGTTTTTTTAATAAAAAATAAAGATATGCAGCTATTGTAAATATTATTTTTGTTAAAATTTATTAGTGATTTTCACGTCTAAAAATATTTTTTGAAGTTCAAAAGATATTTGAACATATTTTGATTTGATAAGAATTTTAAATCTTCTTTGTAAATCAATCTTTTTTTGAGGAATTCTTTATCGGTTTTATTTTATCATATAAACAAACATACTTTTAGATGAAATCTAATTTTTTTTTCATCATTTTTGTAAAATTATCTATGTTTTTAAGTATATTAAAAGAGGTGTTTTTTTCTAAATAATTTTTTTTAAATATTTATATTAAAGTTTTTTATGTTATTTTATATGATCTTTTTAAGGATAATATTTTAATGTAACAATTGCCATATGCGTTATTTTTTAACATTTTCGAAATTTTTTGATATAAAAATGTAAAAATATAATTTATATGCGTAAAGATGTTAAATTATAAATTCAATGAAGATGTTCCTTGGAAAAACGACAATTATCATAACCATTATTTATAAACATTTTAGATTTTTTTTCATGCTAATGGGCAAAAATATGTCTTTTTAACATTTTAAATTAAAATTTCAATTATGATGTACCATATAAAAACAATTGTCATAATCGTTATTTTTAAAGTTTTTAATAATTTTTTTGACGTAAATGGGCTAAAATAAGTATTGCTAACATGTTTAAATAAAACTTCAGTGGAGATGTACCCTAATAAGTGACAATTGTCATAATCGTTATTTTTAAAGTTTTTTGAATTTTTTTGACACAAATAGCTTATAAGCATGTTAAATTAAATATTCAATTAAGATGTACCATATAAAAGTGGCAATTGTCATAATCGTTATTTTTAAAGTTTTTTGAATTTTTTTGACAAAAATAGGTTAAAATAAGTATTGATAATATGTTTAAATAAAACTTCAGTGAGGGTGAACTCTAGATATGTGACAATTGTCATAATCGTTAATTTTAAAGTTTTTTTGACGCAAACGGGTAAAAATATAGATTGTAAACATGTTAAATTAAAATTTCATGAAGATGTGCCATAGAAAAGTGACAATTGTCATAATCGTTATTTTTAAAGTTTTTTGAATTTTTTTGAGGCAAATGGGCAAAAATATAGATTGTTAACTTGTTAAATTAAAAATTTAGTGAATATCTACCATCGTATAAGTGACAATTATCATAATCGTTATTTTTAAAGTTTGTTAAATTTTTTTGAAGCAAATGGGTAAAAATATAGATTGTAAACATGTTAAATTAAATTTAGTGATGTGATGTACTCAGAGACATTCATGGGCCTTAATTTTTTGACCAAGCCCTGCCCAGGCCCGCTGTAAAAATATTTTTGGCCCAAGCCTAACCCGGCCCATATTTAATGTTACCAAGCCCGGACCAAGCCCATAATAAGTTTCACAAAAATTTCTCATACCCGGCCCCAAGCCCATATACAAAAATTTAATTTTTTTTTATTTAATGAAAATTAACAATATTTATATATATTTAGGCAATCATTTATTTACAATACTGAAATTTATTATTATTAAAAGAAAAAAGGTAATATTTTATTAAATTAGCAACTTTTTTAATTAATTTAAATTTAAATTTAATCATTTTAGGCCCAAGCCCAGTCCATTAAAAAAAATTTTAAAAATCCAGGCCCGGCCCAGACATGCTTGATAGACCGGGTATGGGCATGTGGGCCGCCGGCTGGCCCTGCCCATGAACGTCTCTGGATGTACCAATAACTAACAATTATCATAATCGTCATTTTAAAGTTTTATTAATGGGCTAAAATAAGTTTTGCTAACATGTTTAAATAAAACTTCAGCGAAGATATATCCTAGATAAGTATTTTTAAAGCTATTGGAATTTTTTTGATACAAATGGTTAATAATATAGATTGTAAACATGTTAAATTAAAAATTAGTGATGATGTACCATAGATAAGTGATAATTATCATAATCGTTATTTTTAAATTTTTTTGGAGTAAATGGGCTAAAATAAGTATTGCCAATATATAAAAATAAAACTTTAATGAAAATGTACACTAAATAAGTGACAATTGTCAGTATCGTTAAAGTTTTTATAATTTTTTTGACGCAAATGGATAAAAATATTGATTGTAAAAATGTTGCACCATATAAAAGTGGTAATTGTCATAATCGTTATTTTTAAAGTTTTTCAATATTTTTTGAGAAATTTAAACACAAAAAAGATATTGTTTAAATATTTATTTAAATAATTCAGAAAAGTGCCAATTATTACAATCTTCGTTCTTTAACTTTCTTTTTTTTTTTGAGAAATGTGTTGTTACCATTTGGCGAAACAAAAAAAAAATGGCAATTTTCAAGCTCATAATCTTACCTTTTATCCTGCTTTAAATTTGGTAAAAATATGCATAGTGATTAAGAGGGTTGTAACTCATTTTAAATTCTAAACTTTAAAGCTATGGATTCACAATCTTATTCCTTTAATTAATT